GATGGGGATGAAATTATATTATATGGGTATACTCATTGTTTTAACTAACACTATTTTCCTATCCACAGATTTGAAGTCAACACAGCTGGCCACCTTGAGAATCTTCCCCAAGTACTCTAGTAAAATAGAATCGCTTATTATGAATTAATCACTTATAGCTAGTAAAAAAAATTAGGAGGAACCAAACACACGTGAGAGAGACGCTGTCAATCTGTTATTTTATCCTAACTGAAAAAAGCAGGCTAATGACTTGTGTGTTTTTATCTTTACTTTATATTATCATAGCGGAAATTGCTCAAAACGTTTTTAGCTTATTGTGCACTTATGATAAATAAAATTTAAGCATTATGATGATCACGATGGTTTTCCTTTGCCTTTTTTCTGATCTGTTAGGTGGCAACTTGAGAAGAATTCCATTTTAAAAACGAAAGGAGAGCTCCCCACCCAAAGTCCCAATTTGCACCTCATTAATGTTCTTAGGAAGCCTTTGGGATTTGTCAGAAAGCCACAGTTATTCAGCAATGAGGATTTATATAGATCAAAATACAACCATTAATTATGACTGGCATTTCAACTGATTTGGGATTGACTTTCCAATTACGTAACGAATATGAATTTCCATGATTCATGGTCGCCTCCGTAAACTTTCCCGTGACAAAGTCTTGTAATTTGTCTGAGTCGAGGTCTTGCTCTAGTTCTCTGAGGTCTTGTATTAGGCCTTAGTCTTGTACTGGGTCTAGGTCTTGTACTAGTTCTAAGTCTTGTTTTAGGTTTAGGTCTTGTACTAGTTCTAGGTCTTGATCTTGGTCTGAGTCTTGTTCTAGGTCTAGGTCACGCATTAGGTCTAGGTCTTGTACTAGATCTAAGTCTTGTACTAGTTCTGGGTCTTGCACTGGGTCTAGGTCTTGTACTAGGTCTAGGTCTTGTACTACGTCTAGGTTTTACACAAAGTCTAGGTCTTGTACTACTTCTGGGTCTTGAACTAGGTCTAGGTCTTGCACCAGGTCTAGGTCTTGTTCTAGGTCTTGGTATTGTACTAGGTCTAGGTCTTGTACTAGGTCTAGGTCTTGTTCTAGGTCTAGATCTTGTACTAGTTCTATGTTTTGTACTAGGTCTAGGTCTTGCATTAGTTCTTGGTCTTGTTCTAGGTCTAGGTCTTGTTCTAGGTCTAGGTCTTGTTCTGGTTCTAGTTCCAGGTCTAGGTCTTGTACTAGGTCTAGTTCTAGGTCTTATCCTAGTTGTAGGTCAAGGTCCTGTTCTAGGTCTAGGTCTTATACTGGCTCTAGGTCCAGGTCTAGGTCTTGTACTAGTTCTAAGTCTAGGTCTAGATCTTCCACTAGTTTTAGGTCTAGGTCCAGGTCGATTTAGGTCTAGGTATAGATCTAAGTTTAGGTCTTAGACCAGTTCTAGTTCTCGGTCTTGAACTATTTCTAGTTCTAGTCGAGAGAATATAAACAGTTTATTTTCCGTTGTTCCAGTTCTGGTTCTAGTTCTAGTTCTAGCTCTAGATCAAAGTGTTATACTGGTTCTAGGTGTAGGTCTTGTTGCTTATTGCTAAACCTCCGGGAAAAAATGAGAAAAGGCGAAACTTGTCTAATTAATGGATATTTCCCAATTTCAAATGCAAAATCAAAACAAACATTAGATAGGAATTGATTGAACACAAATACAGGCAGAGGAGACTCTTTAAATCAACGTATGTAAAATTCTGTTGTTACTTTTTACTTTTCACGGAAACTCCAACTGTTAGCATCTACGTGAAGTATTCGACCCAGTTCCCCGTCGAAATATTTCAAACCTGAGAGATTTAGAAAGTAAAAAAAGGACAGAATTTTATTTTTTTTTCAGATTTCCATTTCGTTTTAGTACGAAGTCAAAAAAATTCCGACATTTCTAACATAACCAACAATAATACTCTTATCTTAATACGTTGTAGCTTTCTTTTCCTAAAGTTGGTTTGATTTGTGGAGGTAAGTTGATGCCTCCGCAATGGCATTCACTTAGGACTGAAAAAGCATCGATGAAAATAATCCTGTAAGGCTGAATGTCGAGTAATGACAATTATCAAAGATAATTACCGGTAATTTATCACCAGATACATCGCTGAGAAAGATGTACGATGTGGGTTCTTATTCATTTAGTAAGGAGTCTAGCACAAGAAAAATGATGAATTTTCAACTTGGTAGTGGAGTGAAAAATAATTCATTTTTGTCGTGTCTAGAGCGTGTAATGAGTTCTCACCTTATTGAAATCTTTTAAAAGAAATTGTAAGATTAAAGTTTTCTTGTATCATCGATTAACATCCGCCTTTTCTAACATTAATTTCATTTTTGTACTTGCGAAATTGATTTCAACCATGTTCCATGCTGTGAATTTCGACCTCGGTGATGACTTCTTACACAGAAGGTTAGTAATATCATTTCCTTTTGACTATGTTTAAGGGAATGTGTATCACTCTTCAACTCAGCAAAGTGAAAAATATTTATAAATCTAGGAATTCTCAATAAACTTTGTCACAACCTCTTTTGCTCTCAACAGAACTCTTTTTAAATTGCACTCTTTAAATATCACGTAGAAAAATCAGTGATGAAATTGATTTGAAATGATGATATTGAACACTTATTAAAATCTAAGATATTTCTAACTCCGGATGCCTCGATAAATCTATTATCTTCACCCTTTTGTAGCGTTACAGTCCGCCTATCAGAATTCGTTATTTGTTAAGTTAATTCATGATCGTTTATAGTCTTAATCATTTCTTCAAATCTCTCTTTAACTGGAGCGGTAAAAATGTGTGAGACCAAAAATAAACATGGTTGTTTGTGACTTCTCATTGACAGAAATTTTACCAATAATCTTATTGACAAAGCGTCAATCGTCGATCGTCTCCCCTTTTGGCCATATGAATAAATTTCATGAATTGATTCTTTGCTTAAAAAGGGAAATAAGTTTGATATCTGCACTTCCTTCCGTTGTATCCGCACCCCAGCCTTTTGGATCACTGCTCGCAGCAGGTGGTGAAAGATTAATTGTTTTCCTTAAAACTAATCAAATTTAGTTTAACACCTTAAAAGTTGATCACAAAAATAAAGGCTTGTCCAGAATCCTGTGTTTGGCGTGGAAAGAGGGTTGGTTCAAAAGAAAAAGAAATAATTCTACTAACAAAGGTAAGACAGAAAGACAGATTTATTCTGATTAAATCGGTTGGAATCGAGCTGTTCCCTAATTTCTTCCCAAAACAATTGCAATTGCCATGGAATTTATTTCTTTTATTCAGCAAAGAGTCGCGAAACTTTCCCCTCTTCTGTAATTTAAAACACGTATTGAGCTTTTTCTTTTATTTCAAAAGAAAACATAGGATCATCTAAGATAAATCTTGAGAAATTCTTAAGAAATTCCAGAATCTTATATGTACGTTTTTTTATAGAAAACTTAAATTATACTTTAGATCAAGAAACGCCTGGACTACTAGCATTTCATTCAACATCAGAAAACCTCAATCCGTGAAGCGAGGCATAGTAATCAAAAATAAAATAAACTTGTCGCTGAGCGAGCGCGAGCAGTGTTCGATGGACTGAGAATACTTACATGGGCCTTTCTGTGCAACGTTTTCGGCTTCATTTTAAGAGTATAGGCGCTTCGTCGAGCAAACTATGGTCTCAACTATTTAATAGACTCTTTAAAAGTTTCGTTATTTCATAACCCAAACCAGTTTAACGATTCTATCACTGATTTTAGATGACCTCACCCATGAGCTGTTCGAAACATAACATGAGCCAAATTTCAACTGATCAAATGAATCATTTCAGATGTCCCAGGTCTTTCTTGTTTCCTTGGTTCTCCTGTTGATCATCTGTGCGGCTACGTCACTTCCGGCTGACCATCCGCAGCCTGGGTACGACAATGACTACAGGGAGAACAAAAGAGGCTTCCGTGGACTCCCGCCGATAACACGAAAGGGAAGGGGAGGTTACCTCGACGATCCTTATGGGTACGCCCCCGACAAGGAACCAGCTGATTATGAGCCCGTCAGCGTGTAGAAGGAAGGCTACGTTATTGAAGTAAATAATTGGGTCGGGACTAATGAGATGAAATAAAGTGACGTCGCCGATTACAAATGTGTACATCTTTATTAACTAGTAACTTGTATTTTAATATGACTGGTCCAGAAAACGAGCAGGAAGAAACAAACTCCGTATTCCAATTGGCCTGGTTGCTTGGGATTTCTTGCTCGGGATTGTGCGCTTTGATGGGAGGGAAAAAAGGAGACCAGGTTTGCATATTTCATAACCTCTGGGCGAGATTTTTATGTAACAAAAAATTTATTTTTTTACAATTTTAACAGTTATTAACACAATTATTACAATTCGCCTCCACGTACAAATTTAACCTAATTGTGTCTAATTGGAAAGTTTTAAATTCAGCCATGACGTAGAAGTCACGTGTCGAGGGCTTGCAAATCGTTCAGAGTGAGGGAGAAGGAAAGGGGGGGGGGGGAAAGAGAAGGGGAAATACATGAGGAAGTAGGGCAGCAGTGACTCACTTCTGCGCTTATACGCCGATACCTTCTTACGTCCCTCTTTTATTCTTGGTTGTACATTTATCGATCGAGGATCAAATCTTTTTTCAACCCTTTTAACCCCACAGTGATAAGCATATAATTTCTCCCCACAACATGACCCCGACTCGCTCACTGAAGTCACAACAATACAGGAAATATTTACCAGTTAGTGAGGCTCTTAATTGTTAAACAAATGTGCCTTGCCAACACCTTAGGAAATGAATAAAGACAGTCAGGGGAATATGCATTCTGATGTTGGGGAGTAAAAGGTTAGTTTAAAATAAGTAAAACTAGTTAAATCCGCGAGGTGCAGAATAGTTCAAATCAAGATGGTCTACAACTACTACTACTACTACTACTACTACTACTACTACTACTACTACTACTACTAATAATAATAATAATAATAATAATAATAATAACAATAATAGAAACAAAATTCAAGCAGTTAATTTTATTTAAACTTTTTACTTATTTACATTTTACTTGTGGAAGGTGGATTGACAGGCAAGATACAAAAATAACTCGAAGAAATGCTATATTTACACCCTCGTCATTTATGTCCAATTAGGATACGTTTCAGTTAAAATACAGTTTATAACTACTACACTCAGGTAGATAAATGCTGGTACATGCTTTACTGATGCCTGAGAAAAATCGCTGGTTGACTGCTATCTACAAAGCAGTACCTCAAACCATTCACCATGTAACTTCCTAAATAGCAGAATAAAGTTTGCGCATGTCACGAATCCGAATTCTATTGCATTACAAACGTTAGTAACAATGGCGGAATTAAAAAGAAAAAGAATTCAGATCGTTGACAATTCACATCAATTTAAACCATTCTTCTGGGAACTAGAGTATATAACTATCGCCGAGGACCACCCAGCACAACGCTGACATAATTTTCGTATTCTCACGATTGCAACGATCCATCAGTTTGTGGATAAAACTGTGGTGTTCACAAAATATCTTGTGCCTCCGTTGAAGGTTAGAATTAATCAAAAGTTTTAAACGTAATATTTCTACTCCCTTCTTCACCTGTGAAATTGGACAGCTTTTCAATGTTTTCAAAAATTCCACCGCTTTACTGGTATTGCTATGGTTTTACACGTAAGCCCGCGAAAGTTCGAGCCATGCGCAAACGTTAGTCAGCTCTGCCCTGACAGCTAATGACTGACTTGTGATTCTCTTAAATTCCCCTATTCAGCTGATGTACATTTCCTTGTTAATCTGTTTTAAGAATTTCGTGTTACACCAAGATAACACCAGCTAGATATCTCCAAGTGGAAGGATAAATGAAAATCATTGGAAAAGAAGAAACTGTTTGCCCTTAGGGTGACTTCCACAACACAGACAATCAAGTACCAGACAACATCCTGTCTCAATTTGGATGGTTAATTCTTTACATTCACTTAAAATGGATATTTCATTCAACAGTACACAGCTTACATGTGCTTTATTCAATACGCTGTACAAAAAAATTTGCTTTTAACGATTGAAAATGAAGAAAAGAAAAAAAAAACTGGCTTCAATATCAGTTAAGAACTTACAGTTTATTTTTATTATATTTTTTTTGTGGCAAAACAACAAATTTACCCAGTTTCATACCAGGTAAGAATTTAATTTTTTTTTAACAGAAAATGAAGAAAACTATGTGACAAGAGCACAGACAGGTGAGATAAGTTATACAAATATCACCTTCAGTGACCAAAGTCTCTCCCCAACTGTAATCCTACTGTATCTCTGCTCTATCCAGTAGGATTTAGTTACCTCTTGAGCACAAGTCTCCAAATCATTGTTTGACGATGTTGTGATGCCCTTCAACACTTTGACTGATATATTCAAAAACCTCCTGTACACTTTACAGGTTGAATTATCTGCATATGCAATGTTACAAATTTTTCCCACAATCAGCCTTCACAATGATGAATTGATTTGAATTTTTTTGTGACTTAAGAGTATGTTTTTCTTGAAAAATGAAATTCTTGATGTCTTCAGTTTGAGACACAAGTTGTTTTCAACATCTACCTATATGTACTCAAAAGCCACTAGCATATTTTTCGAGAAAAATGAAATTCTTGATGTCTTTAGTTTGAGACACAAGTTGTTTTAGACATCTACCTGTACATACTCTAAAGCCACTAGCGAGGTACGTGCATCTGAAGACCCTGCCTCTGAGTATACAAAATGCATCTGCTGAGTTAAAATATATCTGAGCAGTACTGTAAACCCGTAAACATTACCATGCATACATGTAGCTCATGATTTATGGTACGTAGTGAATTCTAAAGAACTAAAATAATTCTGTGCTGTAATTCATGAATGGACAGTGGTTTACTGATAATATTACAATAATTATCATGATAATACATAATGTACATGCAATTCAAAGAGAATGCTAGACACAATTTTGTTACCTAGTTACAACTCCTTGCTAAGATGAAGCACCCTTTCATTTGTCATTACAACACATGTTACAAAAAAAAATGTAACTCTAAAAATTTCTCTGTATGCATGTGACTATAATTTTTTCCAACAAGTTTACTTGCAGTACATTACTTATCCCCTACAGGCACTTTTCCTATACTGAGATTTTAAAACAATTTGTTGGAGTCATGTTTAAAGTAATTTACCCACTCTTTCAACTAAGATTTTTCTGAAGACTGTATGACCAATTATTTCCATCTAACTAACTAAACACTATTCAGTGATTGCTACATCGTATACATTCGCTTCAGCAGTTGGGGACCCCCAAAAGTTCAGAAAGACTGCTGGCCTATGTGCGACAAGACACTTATACTGTGCAGTCACAATTTTGGAGAGAGCAGAGCATCATCATATCACACTTTGAAGAGTTCTGTGGACTACTTGGGGTCACAAAACTTGTTGATCCCTTGTCAGATTTTCTGCAGCTGAGATAGCCTGTCACACACTACTGAAATATCTATATGGCCCAACATCCACATAAACTCCATAGCACAAGAGAGAGTTATTCTGCTCAAAACAGAAACCTCACCTTGGACTCAGCACTATGACATCTATTTACAGCAAAGAGGGGCCCTCTGCTAGATATTCTCAGGGCCTTCTTGTGGGACATCCTTGACTAAGATTATACGGTTAAATGCTCTCAGGCGCCTCCAGAGTTGGACATACACTTTACATTGGACATACATAAAAACCAATCCTCCAGTGAAACCAATAGCTACCACCACCAGTTTGGTCCAAAAAGGCCAATCCAACTGCCCTTCCCTGATTTCCTCAGCAGTGCGCTCAATAAGAACCCACAGTGACCACACCACACATGTGATGGCAATCACATGAAATGAAACTGAGCAGAGGATCTTGCGGCGCTCACTTCTTGTCATATCAAGAGCTTTCCACTGTTTTAAAATAAAGAGAGTTTTAAAATACACAATGCACATGTTTACTGTGATATTGGGAAAAAATGAGATAAAGACACAGGAATAACAGAGAAGGGAAACAGAAAGTGACACCTGGAGTTGAATCTATCCCAAAAAACAAACCGTTTTTCCAAACTAAACTATTTGATTTTTTTGTGCTGTTTGCAAACATTAGAGGCCATTTACTACCACAGAGTCTAAACCAAACTGCGGTTTTATGCAAGCAGTGGGCCTTCCTTATTCTCTATAAGAGGGTTGTTTTCATGAAATAAATGTCCTTCCACCCCTAGCTTTCAGCCCTGTTGTCACTACATTCACAAAAAAAAATTTTCAGATAAAAGATTTACCTAAAATTCAAGCACAGGGTTTTGTTAAACAACAGCTTAACTTTGTTTAACTAACCCTCCCTTAGAGATGAACTAGGTTTCTCACATCAAAGCAACATTCCAAAGCATAGAATGCAAAAATTGTCAAATATGTATACCAGCATACAGTGGTTTACAGTGAATTAATGTACAGTGTACGTGTACATTGTCTTCTAACCATATAGTTCTTTTTTTAAACTTGTGCACTCAGCAACTAACCTTGGTTATGGGCTTCATTTTTGATTCCATGCGGAACTCATATTTACAGAGTTCACATTTCTTGGTGTCTGAGCTTTTGATCCATCTCTGGAGGCAACTCTGATGAACATACTGCAAAGACCCAGCACACAAACATGGAGAGATCAGAGGTTGGTCGGGTTCTGCCTCACAGTGACATATTCTGCAAATCTCTGCTGATGAAACCACTGAGGTCATCGAGATGCTTTTCTTTGGGGGAGCTTTTGGTTTGTCGTTACTGTTTTCCGTAATTGATGTTGTTATTTGTCCCTCTGGTGACTTTGGTTTCAAATTCTGCAAAGACAAAATACACATGGTGAGATGAAAATAAAACAAATTTCCTTGCCCTTCAGGCAAGCTACTTCTAAGATTACAACATGTACAGTATACATGTAGTCCAGAGCTCTGACAAGCAAGCCCAAATTTAACTTCATAGTAAATTTTAACTAAGGTCTGCATAATGGTAAGTTATCAGTAAATTCAAAAGTATTGGTAAATGGCTTCCACTTAATACATTGTATCATGAAGAATTTAAAACATATTCTAGATCTTGTAGCAGGCAACAACAATCAATTCTTGAGTATTACATGTATTTCTTTTAAATGGTTAAATGCAATCAATGTTCCAAAAGTAACAAAGTTGAATCAAACAAGTTGTGTCATTTAAGTTGTTAAATATGCACTGTACTTTACACAAAGTCCAATCATACTTGTACATGTAGAAACAAATCCAAATGCTACTTGTTGAGTTTAAATTTATGAAAACATCATTGAATTGCAACACAAAATTACAACAGTAGAGTATATGATTATTAGGAGGTGCTGTTTAAGTTAGAAGCTCTTATAATTTCACTAAGACATCAAGTCCATCTACTGTACACTTAAATGTATTGTCATTAGCCATGGCTTTTGCATTCAATGGTGTATTTAAAATACACATTGTAATAACCAAACACATGTACATAGATTGCATGAACCTCTTCCCAAATCAAAATGCATTCCTCCTTTCTATATATTATGTACACACCAAAACCTGAATTTACCTTATTCTGCAGTTCAAGAAACAACAATAAAAACTAACTTTCCAATTCCCTTATTGGACATAAACCTGTACTTCCTCTGCAAATTCTACTTGCCAGTCAGGTAACTCGTAAACATAAAGTAGGTATAAGGAATGTTTTGACTTGCCAGTTTAGCAACTTTCTTTGAAAATTTACAAGCCAAAAATTTTTCCATATAGTCCCCCTTTACACTCTGTCAGTGATGACTGATCCCCTCTCTGTCCCACCTGAGAACCATGAGATCATCTGGTGCAAAAATCCTTCAACCCACCCACCCACCCTGCAGCAGTGAAAAATGAGTGGTCTCTAAGTCAAAATTTAGATGCCAAAATTTTCCCCCAAAGTGTACTTGCCATATCAACCAGAATGGTTGCAGCTTGCAGCACTGTCCAGTAATATAAATAGATCAGAAAGTTCAAGTTTCATCTAAAGGCAATGAACTGATGTGAAAAGAAAGAAAAAAGTGATGTGATGAGTGTATTATTAAAGCCTGGTTTTCACTGACCGGCCAAGCATGACATTTCCATTATCACCATGAAAACAACCTCTGAGCAAGCAGAAGTGCAAGGTCAAGATGAAGGAAACATTTTTTGATCCTTGTGCTTGTGCATGCACCAAGGTGGTTTTCACAATAAAATAAGAGCTGTAACCTTTGTTTCTGTACTAGCATTGCATGTCATAACTGACAAGGTGTAACAGTATATGACCTATGTCCAGACCAGGCGAATAAACAAAAAGTGCTACATGTTAAAGGTGCAAAAGGCTTTCAATCTAAACCTAACCAGAATTAAAGTTCCAACTAAAAAATTGTCATCCATGGTTTTCATGACAACATGTGTATAACTCTTGCCTGGGTCATTGATTCTAATGTTCACTGAAATTTCTTTTGTGATAAGTTGTAAGAATAATATGCAGTTAACACATGAATTAACATAAAATGGAAATGATAATCTACCAAAAATAAAGCAAAATAAAATTTGTTGTGCAGACATGTACCAAATCTAAACATTGATGATCTAATTCATAAACAAGTGGCCTTGAATACATGTAACTTTAAATTGTACATGTACATTAATCCCTCCTTGGATACATTTGCTGACAAATCAGTATCATTTAACCCTAATGGGGCTGGTGGCTGTTCTTACCAAAACCAGCTGAGTCAGGAAAGTACTAAATACTAAAAACTATAATCACATTTCCAATTTGCTCACTTGGTTGTCATCCTTTGAATGCACATCAAAACAAGTTAGTGATGGTGCTTTTGCCAAGAACGACAGCCCTTACTTTACAGCAATTCATCCAACCTTGCTAAAATAAAACTTTGCTGCATACTGTATCTCTTATTACCCCATACCATACAAAAAAGGTTATTGCCTGTCAAATATGATGAAATACAATACTTGTAGAGATCAATATACATGCAGAATATGCAGCTTAAAGATTGAAAGAGCCTGGTGTACATTCTCACAGCATGACCTACATATGCCCCATATCAGGCCAAGCTAGAACAATCATGCATTCAAAACATTTCTACAGGTTTACATATCTTGATAACATTAAGATTTATGCTTTTGTGTATAAAGCAAACCAATCTTTTTAAAAGGAATATTACCGCTACATACAATATATATTTGTACAATTCAGCTTGTATTAAGATAATTTTTTTAAAAATAGGCTGAATTACAAACGCACTTTGATCAGTTCTTACTTGCAGTCTATTTAAAGACAGATGCATGTTGACATCACTTTTAGCCACAATTTGCTTCTTTACAGTGTAAAACAAATAAATTATTTGTTGACATGTGTTTGTAAAATAATAGATCACAGATGATGTCAAAATGTGGTAAGGACATCAGTGCCACTATTTTACTCTCACCAAATTTTGATGTCATCTACAAACTATTACTGATCAGACGACACAGCAACATGGAATCTATTCATAACAAATTAATAAGCAAATCATGTCTGTAGGTTATTCTAATCACCTCAGAGTGCTCTATTTATTAATCTGCAGAGTTTATGCAAGGATTTTGGATGCAAAACGGTGAAAAATTTTGTAACACTGAGAACATGACCAGTTACTCATTTCTACAGTAAACTGGCTCAAAAGAGCATTCTCAGCTTTGGTTACTAAAAGAACAAATTAATCTCTTAAATTCTCAAATGAAAGTACAAAAGAGCAACTGCAGTGCTAAAACCTGTGCTGCATTGCTAAATGCCCCCACCCCATTTGATTTAAGGTCAAGGATAAAACACATTGCCATCTGATGTTCACTATGTGGTAAGAATCATAAAATGGTTCCCAAGATTTGTTAATAGTTGGATACATTCATGGCTAAAAAGATAACAAATACAGGCAAGCACGACGAGTTAAACTAATAGAGAAGAAAGCCTCGATTATCTTCAGAATCGCATTAACTGTGCGATGGGAGCTTCGATACGAAAATATTGCTCCTTCATCGCAAAATTTCCAGGTCGGATTGTTCTTCCTTTGAATTCATACAACTTGCCTTCAAAGAGTCATTGTAAGAAACCATACATGTAGTTGAGAAACGGATAAACTCTACGGCATGGGAAAAAATCTACCTTGTTTGCGCCATTGTGTGGCCTTGAAAATCATAAAAATAACACGTTTAAAAATAATGTCTTGGTTGATAACTTCAACAAAACGCATTGACCTACGAAGCTATCTGACTATCATTACGCGTGATCTGCTGCAGACTTTGTACGATATAACAAGGAATACTTGATCTGAACAAGTAAAAATTCGGATAAAAAGTATACCGATATCCATTGAGAGAAATGCTACATCTAAAATAACAAACCTTTGCTAGACTACTTAATCAAAGTCCGTATCAAACCCTGTATTATGAAAAACAAGAAAAACTTCATAGCTGTCCATCACACGAAAGGCAGTTGAGTCGCAACTGTCTGCAAACCTTCGAAATCTTACCTAAACCTAAAACGTGATTTTACCACAGCTCATCAGAATTCCTACCAAAATGTTTTCGCCGATAAAGCAATTCTTCTAGTTTACTTGGAGGTTTAGAAGTCGAACATCCAGAGCTAATCAACCCCATTCTGCGAGAAATCATTTACATTTTCATAAAATCAAACAGCGCTCCGGCGAGCTTGTGTAACTTTACACTCGTGAAATGTTTCGTGTGGAATTTGGTTGCAAACAAGGCGCTTAAATTCTACGAGTACGATGACAGCAGCAATAACCGACAGAACAATACTTTCAGTCGGACATAGATAACTCGACGACACAAGTCAAAGTTCTTAAATATTGAGAAGCGAACAAAGTATTTTTCATCACGCACGTAAGCTTGCTGTGAAAATGATTGCAGCATCGTATTAATTCTAAGTAAAACAGTAATACCACACAGGAAAGCGAAATAACTTTGTAATCTTCTCATTTGCCGAACTCTCGTCATGGCTTTTCAGTCTATCACATTTTTTGCCAACCGTGGCTTAAAAAAGAGCCATGTTTACTGCCGATTTCACCCGACCTATCCAAGTGACCTATTTGGCAATTGGATAAACAAAACGCGAAAGGCGTAAAGAAGAGAGTTGAAGCCAACTTTCTCCGCTAAATTATCAGAGAATTAATCTTTATAGGATAGATTTAAGCTCTAAAATGTTCTTACTTATGTAATAACTTACTTTTCTGTCTTTGTTGTTTGTCTGCTGCAGAGTCACTGGGTTAACGACAATTTGCTGTACGGGCATCGTTTTCGCCTCTCGAAACCCGAACATTGAACGATCAGTTCAGCAAGTCCTTCAACCGTAACGCCAAAAATCCCAAAGCCTATACTCCATTTAAATTGAATACTTCTTTTTTCTTGACAAAATCTACCGTAAGATACACAAAATCGAGCGTTTATATGGCGACAGTCTCCTCGACGCTATAGAGAAAAAAGATGGCGGATGTATGAAGCCTAATGTAAAAATTTGTCAGAGCGACCGAACTAACATTGTGACGTTAAAGAAATATCTGGATCGTGATTGGTCAATGGGTAATTTGTTCAGAAATGAGATTCGGCTCAGCATTGGAGCCGAACGCAAACAAGGAAAATTCTCACCAACATCCTGTCTGCAATCTGCCACAATATTTTCTTAATTGGAAGGTTGTTAAGACTGCACGAATAATCTTTTATCTGAAATTCATAATTTTCGATCCCAAAATCTATTTAAGCTGGTCAAATCTTTCGGAAAATATTGCAAGAAAGTTACCAGTGCTCGAGATTCTGCCCAATACTTCACCTGTTCTTAATGATCTCAACAACCTTTTGGGTAATAATTTCAATCACCCTGTCATATTCAAGTCTGGAGCGACGGCTTTCAATGACTTTAATTTCAAATTCTCTTAAGTTCTATCATAGTTAGTAGAGGAGACTACTAACTATGGTTCTATTATAAATTTTTATTTTTTCTCTTTTTCTTTTTTAGCATGGGGAGGGAGAGGAGGTCCCAATGTAAAGATCAAATGACGTTGACAAGGAAGTTGGTCATTGCCAAGCTGGAATTAACCCAAGGTCCGAACAGAAAATTTTCATTAAATCGTCTTCAAACATCGCTTTTACACTGCCATGTGTCAGTTCCAATTGCGACATATGACGTTGGTTTTATATGAAAACCGCTTTGTAATGAACGAAAAACATACCTTCTATTTTCCCGTACAGACAGGCTTAGAAAGAAATATGTCAGAAGTCTTGATATGTCAACCACAAAATAGTTTGACCTAATTTTTCGCCGTCCTTCAAACCAATCCCACATTGTTCTATGGTTAATTAGACTTCCCCTCTGAATCGTTTTCACGTCGGCAAAAGAAAAGATTCCCTTCGCCAATGTAAGCAATATTGGACAGGAAAAATGTTGAACTAACTCAGGTGCTCTATCGGCTTATAATATAAGTCAAATAAGTTATCACTCAGGAGCTAAAGCTTTTGAAATACTCAGTACACGGTCTAGCATCTCAGGGGGTGAAATTTCGGCCAAACATTAGCAATTTCCAGTTTTAAGCATTGCACCAATACAAAAACTGCACTATCATCGAGCATCCTCATCGAAAACGGCCGGTTTTTTAATCGTCTTATTTAATTTAGAACCGGAAAATTGAAAACTGAATGCGAACTTGCGGCTTGATATGTCTCATATATGTGGCTTCAATATTTACGCATTTTGAGTGGTACTTGCTTAGATCTATTGAGGGACAGATGCAAAGCTGCAAAGATGAGGTTATCAATAACAGCGTTTTGCTTCTTTATTATGTAAATCAAATGGAGTTTATCGGCTACCGCGCATCTGTTCTGTGATAGATCACGGACGACGTCAAAATGCGGTGAGGATATCAGTGACAAACTCGACTGCGCCTCGTGCAGGTCGTGTGCCACTTTTTCCTCTTTAACCGAGCAGACACCAGCAACATGAAATCTATGTATTCATTTTAGAACATTATCCGCCTTAGTATAAGGGAAAATTACAGTACAATTGTTAACCATGTTAGCTTTTGTCGGGTCAGGGATTGTGTCTCATTTAGTCCGTGTGTTTTACTGCTACGGAGTTTAGTGTAAAGGCCGATCTCATGCTAGCTATGAGAGCAATCCCGTTTAGGAATAAGGGGTCCTCTATATGCTTTTCACAATGCAGCGGCAGATCAAGAGTGAAGGTCCCGGGGGGGGAGTATTCAGAATCCCCCCGCCCCACTCCCCGCTGTGTGTTTTTAATTACTTGACTGACGCTACAATTCATGCGACGGCAGGAGAGCGTATTACCATTCAACGGAAGCTCTCGATGGGATTAACCGTTAGCCATAAAACGGTAAACATTTCAGCTGTCAGGCGTAAAAATTGACAAATTTTAACCGTTTGTCATAATAAAGTTAACTGTAAAAATTGTTTCTGATAACCGTGACGGAAAGAAATTAATGGTAAGCCGTATAATGGCCAAAATTTCAACCTTAATTACCCCATTGAGTATGTGGTAAAATACCGTTCAAAATTCAGTCAGGGTACTTTCCCTGTCGAAAAATTAATTTTCGTGCCATAACTGAGACCCACTCAATTGGCTGAGGGCGGGCGTGAGTCGCTCAGGATGTAATTTTGGACATCGTTAGTTGTTGTCCCTTTTGTGTCTGCGTGTGCGGGGTTTTTATTTCATTTTTCAATTTTTTCTTTCAGGATGTATTAAAACACTTGATCGTAATATCTGACGTAATGATTAACACCAGCGCTCTTCATAATAATTTAACTATTCAAATGGTAGAAATACAGCACTTGACAACGCAATACAAGAAACCCTTTCTGGGGCTTTTAATAAGTCACGCGTGTGTATTTACCTTAAAGTATTTGCTTGCTTTTCTTCTCGAGACACATTTTGTTGGAACAAGACAAAATCAGGAAGGGCTTTTTAATTTTCACTTGCACCTATTAAGGGCCTATTAATAACATTTATCTTATTTGAATTACCTCGATATAAAAAGTGTTCTTTTTTATTAGGCACGATCGTGGGGATGCAAAGAAAATGAAGAAGTTCGTCAAAGCTTGAAAAATGGTTCTGTTCTCGGCAAGTAACGGCTCATTCTAATTTATACGAAAATAAGTCTGTTTTTGACCTAAATCATAAACATTGGCATGAATATAATAGGACTTTTACTTCAGTTAAGAGTTCTTAGCTAAAGTAAATATTAATTTAGGTAAATTATAACATTAAAAACTCGAAAGCGCATGGACCTTTCTATTTGAATTGGTTAAAGTTGGTTCGAGCAAAAATAAGGCTTCGATTCTTCTCCCTTTTTAACGGGATGAAATTAATCGCAAAGCCTAGCCTGAATTTTCTACCGAAATTTTAAGTTTTATGAGGAAACCACTCAGTCAACACATTACACAGAGTGTGATAAACTTGTCATGCACAGCAAAAACATTGCTAGTTCAGCCGCTGAAATTATTTTTAATCCAACGAAATATATCTCATGGATAAATTCACAACCCATTTGTTGCAGTCCTAACTTGAAATAGAGCCACCGCACCGTTATTTCACACGCATCGTTCAAAACTGTCTTCCTCTCTATGATTCGTCGGTGAATTTGACGAAAATGATCGGTTTCCGAACTCATACTGTGCGTACCAGACTGGTTTTGGTGCTGATACTCGTCCTTCCGAGCCGGGTTGTCTTCGGCCAAAGGATAAGAGGAATTAACATAGCTGGTAAGAATGATCTTTATCTAGAAAACAGCTAAGGTAGATTTTCAATCAGTGGCAGACAAATGTGACCAGACAAACTCCACATCGGGGGTTCATCTCAGTTTTAGACTCCGCACAATATCCTCGGCACGTTATCTGTCAGGGTAATTTAGTATCAAGGGGATAAGTTTGTAAAGAAACTGTAGTGCTGCGTCGGTGAGAGAGTATATAACAGTCAGCACTAAAAACGGCTGAGAAGAAAAATACTCACAGCATTCCATTCACTCTCACATTTCACTCTCACAACCACGCAGTTAAATCTATCATTCTTAAAAACTTTGAACTACTTTAAAACGATCAGAGACTACTTGTACTATCTTTTCGCAACCTCCACTAATTTCATTCGAACGTGATTAAACATAGGCAACGTTTTGGTTAGAAGTTCATTTAAAACCAGTGACCAAACTGCAACTTTCAAATGCGCTCGCTCATGATGCATAACTTGTCCTTTCATTCATAACGTGGAGAAAATGTCGCAACCCAAGAGATCCATTAAGATCACTGATCACTTCGCGTGCACCTCCGCCAATGTCAACTGCTGCGTAACTTGCACTTATTGCAAAAAGTTGTACATTGGTGAAACAGGAAGACGACGTGGTGACCGATTCCGAAAACACCTTAGCGAAAGAAAGAAATGATAAGGACGCATCCAAACCAGTCGCTATACACTTTAATCTCCCTAATCATTCTAAGCAGCATATGGCGGTTGTGGGGAAAGACTGCAAACTGCCATATGCTGCTTAGAATGATTAAGGAGATTAAAGTGTATAGCGGCTGGTTTGGATGCGTCCTTATCATTTCTTTCTTTCGCTAAGGTGTTTTCGGAATGGGGGGGGGGGGGAATAGGGATTTCCTGCCAGCCCACAATGCTCTGGTCGTCACGTAGCCAACCAGCACCTTCAAGAGATTATAAGTTTAGCACCGCATACTCTGTTTCCCGCTTTTTACCACGCATTCGAACTTGGACTAATCCACTCCTCAGTGGGGGACAGGAGGGACATTATAACAAAAAATGTATTTTTTGACGTTGAAGGCCTAGTTGTATTTCCCGTAAGGTCTCCATGAGTGGCTTACGACCCTTGATTTGTACGTGAGTTTAACTGAACACATTTAAAGAACCATATCCGACACGGTGCATTATATATGTCAGACCTTGACTACTCTTGTCAAGCATCCTCTGAGGTCATCGATATAAATTCATCTTGGCGTCGTAACCGAGACGATACCACGTGACCAATGCGATAAGATGACCGCTGTGACATGTAGTGGCTTAAGACTGAATTAAGCAATTTCTAATCCCCTGTAAAACGTTACCTGTCAATCCAGTAATGTTCGGTAAGCCATAAAAATTTATTACATGGGTCTTTCGCTATGTTAACTTCCTCGCTGCTGAATTAACATAAAATAATCCACGAATAATGAAAGCTGCAACCGAAACAAACCATAACAAATAATGTTAGCTCAGCTGTAGTACACGAAAAGGTTAAAACTTGGGAGGGAACGATCAGAGAGACTTACACACAGCCTTGGTAAATCCGATCGAGTGCTGTCCTCTTAGCGTAAGCCGGCTCGATTTCACTATAATTTTAAAAAAAAACTGCCTCAGATTGTGTTCGATATCTACGTCTGAATTTTCCACTGGTAACCTGTTGATGAGAATGAAGTACCGGGCAAAAAGTTTTATTTATATCGCGATATTTATCGACCTGTTGCAAAAATGTGGCCGAGCAATCCCAATGAACACAAGGGCGGACCTGAAGATGGAAGACAAACCCGGCAAGGATAAAAAGCCGATACCTCCATGGGCAAAAGCTAATGGACTCGGTAACAATTTTTATTCTTACTTAATCCCGTCCGACTTTTATTGTTGTGATATAACGTGCAAACATTACCGCTACACCAACCATTAGATAAAGAGCACAAGGGCTTAAAAATGCAGAATTATGGAGTTCGATCGGGGGTGCATATGGCCCCTGAGCGCTGTAACGTTCACAAGATGCAAATTATCTTTCGCATGAGGTTCAATATCAATTTTCTCACATTAAGATCTGAGTTTGGGTGTAGAGTGCTTATTTAAGAGAATGCACACTTCCCAGTCTAAGTCAGGGGACAAAATGATCATAGAAAATTGAGAGAATCTCCTTAAATAATTCTCTAAAGGGCTAACAAACATTCCTCGAGAATTTACAAACAGGAGGTGTAGACAAATGTTGTCAGAAATGAAATCACTGTAGCACCGAAACGTCTTTAAAAAAAAAATCCTAAACTGAGGTGGATTTCACCGCTGGCACTGACATATGGCTGGCTGCAAATCAAAGCAAATAGAAAACGAAAAAGCTAATTTTTTAAAACTTTGGAGAGTGGGACAAGGAGAAAGTTTGATTCCCCTACGAGGAAAAGATCCTTAAGACTTCGGCTTTTGTGCCCCATTTTCTCTTCTACTTATCTGTGAAAATTATGTTCCACATCGTCCCGAGCCAGTTTTAGCCAAAAAGGAAAAAAAAGCGCAGAAAATGCGGCGTTAACTATAGCATAGATATGTATCGATTTGTGGTTGCTCGAGAATGCTATGTTGCAAAATTCATTTAAATCTTTACTTTAAAGATTAATACTGCTCTTAAAACTCACTCCAGCCAAGTTCTGAGAAATATTGCTGACGACCTGTTTAAGGCAATCCAAAATTCAGTCGAAATATGACAAGGATGTATTTCCCCACGCTTTGGAACGTCGAAAAAAATGTCTGTAAAAACGATTTTTAATAAGGCACAAAACAAACTATGAGGCAAAAGTGTCGTAAAGTTTAGACAGCTTAAATATACATCACCAGATCTGTATTTATTAAAATAAAGATGTTCTTCCTTCAGATGTGTTACTAAATGGCACACTCACCGACACAAGAATTGACGATGAACGCTTTCTTTTAGCTGCAGGAGCTTGCAAAAAAAGATAGAAAAATAGTCTAATCTAAAAAGAAAAGAGAGTAAAATCGGTTCACAACTGAAAACCTACTATCGTGATAAGTTCTATTTTATACTACGCGCTTCTTGAATGTATTGTATAAAGAGATGTTTCTATCTTCATAAAGGTAACTGATAAATACGTTGATTGTATCATGGTTAGTAAGGGTAAAGTTTATAAGTGGGTTAGGTGACCCCGGCACACTACCATTGGTTATCCATCTTTTTACAGCAGTATTGCCACTCCCCTTGGATAGGATACTAACACATTGCAGGCTATTTTCAGTTCTCGTCAGGATTATCGGTCGGTATTAAAAGCCATGGCATGCAGTGTCAAACTTTAAGTTTTAATTTAAAAACTTCAGAATTTTTTCCAAAAGCACGGCGATCTGAGCCAAAGTTCTTCCTTCGCACTCTATTAAGTCAGTCTAAACTGCAAAGGAATACCACTTTACTCAAGCTTAACCAGTTATAGATATATACAAAAGAGGACTAAGTTCTCTCCTGGTGAAAACCGTGTATAACTTTCAACACCTGTTGGTTCTTCACTCGAATTTCTTAATGCGTATGTAAAATTTCCTTTTCCAGTATTTTGATATTTAAACACACTATCATTTGTCTCACGACTAGATAAGCTGGAGGGAGATATCAAACTGTCACCAAATGTAGAGTCACTTGTCGCAGGTGGCGTGGAAAAGGACAAGAAGAATGAACCCTACGAGAAGGGGGCTGTCACTAACAAGATATATCTGTGGACAAATGGAATCGTGCCTTATGTTATTGACTCAGCATTTGGTAAGATGCCATCAGGAATTCCAGAGTGAAGAAGCCTTTTTCCCTCTGTGGCGAATCAAAGAGTATTTCTTGATGGTCGGTCGTACACGTAATTGTTATCTTTTCAGAGACCGAGCCAAAGGGAGGGTTTGAGGGTCCTGGGGCCTGGACCCCTCCTTTTTTGTTAGATTTGAGATTTGTTAGATTTTGGTTGCGTCACGTTAGATGTTACCTAGGGCCCCCCCCCGGTTTTGTCATATTCTAATGACCCACCCTCATTGGCAATCAATTTTCAATACTCTCCCCTTTATACTCTGTTTTAGACGATTAATCCCACCCTCTGTTCGCTCTGCAAACCATGCGATCCTCCCCCAAAAAAGATACTTCCCCCCCCTTTCCCGCGATAAATATTTACTGGTCCCTTACTATCATGGGGAACGAGTTGTACTCTGAGCGGTGCCTTCTCCCAGCAGTATGTTTCCCACAGAAATTGTTTGCATTTTTTTTGTGAATATTGTAACTAGGCTTGCTGAAATGTGTTTGGTTTTTCTAGGTAGGTACTCAAGCGACAGTCAAGCCATAAAAGACGCAATAGCTACTGTAGAACAGATCTCCTGTGTACGTTTCAAAACAAGGACAAACGAGCAGTATTACATAAAGTTTGTCAGGGGCAATGGGTAGGTGCAAAGTATAATCAACACTGAAAACAGCCGTGACCAAAAACAGAAGGGACAAAAAAACAACAACATTAACAACTTTGAAATGATAACTTTCCTCAGCGTACACATTCTAGCGGATCCCCATACCTAAGAAACTCGCAAAACTTGTCGACGGCAAAGTGAATTTAATTAATAAGAAAATTCTTTATCTTCGTGTGTTTCATTGACTGGTTATTTGATTTCTAGTCTAATCTAGTATTTCAATGACCAGGAAGTGGCCACCCTGATGATAATTTCCTTCATCAGGATCAAGAAATAAGACACATCCAAATGTTATGCAACTGCATGTCATTCCGAACCCAAATGCACATCAAGAAATAAGACACATCCAAATGTTGTGCAACTGCATGTCACTCCGAACCCAAATGCACATCATCCATTAGTGAGATGCCGGACTGTAGCGCACAGTGGTCTCAATCTTCAAATTTCATTCTGTCCCGCCAAATCCAATTACTCTTAAAGAACGATGAAACAAACATTCCTTCCATTTTTCAATTCAACCGACATCAAAACAATACCATGACGTCAAGTTCGCCTGACACGGGCACTTCGTTTGAAACAAGGTCGTACTATTGTCGTGCGGTATGGCAAGGCCAATCGTGTCAAATAGTCGTGCCACACTTGACATGGTTTGGTGACTTCAATGGTTTCAAACGTCGTGCCATTGCCATTCTTACATTGAGTTTAACCATTGCAACGGTGTGAGGTTTGGAACAGACCCAAACTACTATCACATATTTTACACTCATCCTAAAATCGCTGGAATCATCATAACTTTATGAGAGTAATTACCTAAACAGTAGGTTATATTTTACTTAAGGTTTTCAGCATAAAAATATATATCTGGAGAATCCTAGAGGAGTTTATTGATCACTCGCCTCATTAAGGGATTTACTCGTTCAGCGTTTTAAGAAATAACGTCCCAACTGCAGTTAATAGACAAAAATAGCAGCTGAATATTGAGTCATATTTTAATCATTTAACAAATCGAGATTAAGGAATGGAAATAGGAAGTAAGTATAAAAGGGCTCATAGGCAAATAATACCACGACATTTTATGATAATAAATAGTAATAATGAATGTTTTCTATTTGTATGATAACCAGCTGCTGGTCCTACGTCGGTCAAGTGCACATGTCTGGAGGTCAGCCACTCAGTATTGGAACAGGATGTGGTTTTATTGGATCGGTATTACATGAACTCATGCATGCCCTGGGATTTTTCCATACCAGTTCACGTCATGACCGCGACTCATATGTTGTCGTTATTTCTGAAAATATCATGAAAGGTAAATATATAAAGGGGGTAAGTTTCTAAAGAAACTGTGGTGCTGCGTCGTTGGGAGGGTATAACAGGGTAATTCAGTTTTATCAGCTGAGTTGATAAAGTAAATTGGCTACCGTAAAGAGTTTGAAAGCTGACGTTTCGAGCGTTAGCCCTTTGTAATTCTCTGACGAAGGGGCTAACGTCAGCTTTAAAACTCTTTACGGTGGCCAATTTACGTTATCAACTCAGTTGATAACACTAAATTACTCAAAGGTTTTCGTTCTCTGTCTATAAAAGCGCAAATAAAAGACTTGGACAAAATTTCGCCGTGGTTACCTCACCGGCTTGATTAATATTTGATGATCGCTGTGGTTTTTCAAAAACTCTATTGGTAACCCATAAAAGTTATGAGCCTAACACTTTCTTTTCTTTACAGGCTATGAAGCAAATTTTAAAAAATATAACCATGGTATTGTAGACAGGCTGGAAGCACCGTATGATATGACGTCTCTGATGCACCTGCCAAGGAACGCCTTTAGTAAAAATGGTCTGAACACTCTGGAAGCACGTGCTGGACCAAACGTCCCATTGGGAAGAAGAGATCGACTGTCTGAAATTGATAAGGCCCAGCTGAATTCACTATATAGCTGCACAGGCTACCCAAGTTAGTCAATGTTCACGCCGTCCGTTTCCCATTTCTAGTTGGGGAATTGCATGTCAGATAGGAAAGGAATGTGTGCGAGTGTGATTATAGGCAAACGGAAAGCAATTACATCAGGAAATTGGAGCTTTAATTCACATCACAACGAACTAATGAGAACTCTGAAGGGTCTTAAGCGCTGAAAAATGCAGTTGACCAAGTTTTGAACTCAAATCACTGAGCGTATGTGGTGCGAATTTGTTTCCTGTTCTTTTTCTTGAATAAAACAAACCAAAATGGCACAGATCGAGTCCGTGAATATAATCAGTCAGCATGAAATCCTGGGTTAACCTCATTTCACTTCAAGGAAAAAATTTCTCGGTGTGAAATGAAGGCGTTTAATCATGTCCATGCGCCTTTGGTCTCCAGTGATTGTATATTTCTATTGAGCGAAGCTAACTTGCATCCCCCTTGTGAAGCCTCCATTGATTGCAAATTATATTTTTTTTATTATTGTTACAAAAGCACCCGTTTTTTAAATAATTCTAAAATGTTACAACATTTTCTGTAAATTTTATACATACTGTTCCACACTGTAAGCATGCGAAGAGAGAAACATGTAACGCGTTCAATTTGCATGTTGGGCATCCTAGTGTGTGGTCTGATTGATTTTTCAAGCAGTCTCTTTATTCCCTGGATAGGTTGTTACAAGGCGTTCGGTATGGAGTCTTTTAAAATCCCCGACTCCAAAATAACAGCCAGTTCATATAAAATGTATCACGAACCTCATCAGGCCAGGCTACATATGCAAGCCAGCGCTTCTGGGGACGGTGCTTGGTGCGCTGGTCAGAATCTACACCAAGGAGAATGGCTACAGGTACATGATTCACATCACACAATCTAGCAATTTATGAGAAAGTACATTTTGAATGATTGACCAGGGAATGTTAGCTACGAAGACTATATGAAGAGGCAGTGGCCAAACTGTTTGTGCCTAAGAATTACGACAAAGTCTGATTCGAGCCCTAGTCGAAATCATTCCTTTTGTGTTTGAGTAGACTACAAAGCGTCTTGTACTCTGGAAGTGCCTATCCTTATTTAAGATTATGGAGTGGTGTAGGCGAGTTGTCTTCAAAGTCTGACGAAACTGTAGGGCTGCGGGCAGCCTAAGTGGTTTAGTTCTTATATAACAGCACTTACAGTTACAGATTAATACCAAAACTTCGCTTGGACTAACACCCTATCTAGAAAATTTGCAATACTCTATAGTCGTTAGATGGTACGGACGGGGGATTAACTCCCACAGTTTGAGGTAGAGGTTCACCCTGCATGCTGGTGATTTTATGTGCTCTCCTTAAGACCTGAGCGGCGAGGAAGCGAACGGTTTGGAACTGATTTCTCCGAATGTTTCCTTCCTAAACCTCTGGCATCTTCGCCACTCGTGATTTTGGCTCCGCCATCCAGCGTTTCAAAGCAAATACAAATCAGCTGGCCACGCAGAATTTATGACTTCACCAGGATTTATCAACACCCAGTTTTACAACGCTTAAAGCGGAGCAGTGAAATCTGCAAATTTAAAAAATGAATATTTTGTTGTCATTTTAACTGAATTAATTTTCTGGCCTGATATGTGTTCTTTTTTTTTTATTTTTTATTTTGATTCAGGTGGACCTTAAAGGGAAAAAAGTTGTAACAGGAATTGCAACCCAGGGGAAATTGGGTCTATTTGTCAACGCGTGGACAACATTCCTTGAATTATGGTACAGCTTGGACCAAAACACATGGTATCCAGCATTTAACGGCCAGGTAAACTGTCAGGGTGAAAATAGCCAGACTCAATATATCTTATATTTTAAAAGCCATGTTACCAGAATATCCGCAAAACCAGGTCCACATCGGTACGTACAAGTTTGACCATCAATTTTAGGTCATCATTTAGAATAAGTTCCATCCTGTTTTCTTGATTTATTTGCTACTGTTAGGTGCCTCATCTGGCAAAGGATTTCTCCAAGGTTCAATCTATTTAAAGCAGTTCTATAGACGTTTCTAAAAGTGTCTCCTTTAACATCTATTTGCTTGCCATTAATCTACACGCGTCACGTGACTGAGTATGCCCTAACGAGAGATTATTAAAAAAAAAAAAAAAAAAAAAAAGGAATTTTGGAGAATACATTATCCTTGGTTATTACCTTGGAAGCTCACAAAGAATTTTCCTTGATGGGGAATGGCTTCTCTTGCGTACTCGAGTGACATGTCACATTCAGACATTCAGGTCAAAAGAGGACTAAAAGAACGAACGTAAAATTCAAAGTTATTTGTTATGATAAAGATTGCATGTGTGCGAAATCGATCGTTCATGTACAGAAGTAACCTTCATCCATGCCTATTTTGACAACTTAATTTATATATATTATTTTCAGTTAATTTCTGCAAACTTTGACATGAATTCGGTTCAATATAATCAAGCGCCAAAGCCTTTCACCGCACGCTACGTGCGATTTGAACCGATGTTTTGGTACAACGAGATTTGTCTCAGGGTGGAAATATACGGCTGTGACGGTGAGTAAAATATTTGACTTAGACAAAACTTTCTTCGCGTGGTCCGAAGTACCGTGTAATAGCTCTAACCTTAAACAGTGACAAAATTCAAGAAATAGCTAGAGCCCAAATGTAGTAGCCAGAGAAAGAAAAAGTGTGCTGGGAACTTGATGTGTTAGGCTCTGTTCACAGTTGCTTTGCCAGTACAGGAAATGATCTAGGTATTTTTTCAATACGAGGTCAAAACTTTGATTCAGTATACAGAGAATTTTGTTTACACAAGAGCCTAAATAGACTAAAAAATATCTGAAGACAAGTAAATTTAATATACTTCATATTGAGTAGTAACATGCGATCATAGCGTTGCAAGAATTTTGGTGTCAGACATGTGATTTAAAGTCCATTGATATGAAGGGGGGAGGAAGGTCTTAACTCCCCAGACCCTCCCCCTAGACAAACGCTGTTATAGCAAATGGAAAAAAACGTTATTGGATATGCGTTCCAATTGTTTTTATCATTTTTATCATTTTTCCTTTCAGCTTGATTGCATGCAGCTTCTGTGCCTCCAGAAAAAAGTTTTAAATTTGCCACCAAAACAGTTGTCAAACCCACATTCATCAAGGGCAGTTACTCTCTCGAAACTTTTCAACTCAAATCGTCAGAAACAAACCTCCCCTAAATGGAGGATTAATTTTTATTGACAGTCACTAAAAAAGGAACCATACCGGCGTCGCACTGAGTGTATTATTTGTGGGCTGTGCCCTTTGATAACGGGAGTAGTAATAAATATTATTTTTGTTCGTTGACGTATATTTGACATTCCACCGTTATCTTCCAACACACAAGACTATCATCATGCAACCATTCAATATTCAATCTAACATACGCAAACTTCGATATGTGCAATACAATTAAAAAAAGAAAATAAGGCGAACAGAAAACTGTAGATTTTTACGCGAGAAGATCGAAAAAAATTGTCCAACAGATTCCTATAATCGAATTAGTTTCTTATACGCCGGTTTCTATCTGTCAGCGAAACACACACACAAAAAAAATCAGAATTAATTTCTTCCTCATCTCTATCCAAATTCTCTGTTTTTGTTTCGTGTACTGCAATGTTTCGTTGAATTAACACAAAAAACAAAATTCATCTCCTTCAAAAGGCACGCTTTATTTCTCACAATCGATACATTAACACTCTATTAAAGAAAGACCTATTCTGGAAATCTGTTTTCCTGTTTTGGAAACCTGTTCCAAAAACATCTTTTACGACACTCTTCTACAAATATTATTCCATATAGAAAATGTTTCACATTTCATAACGAACGACCTGACCTTAAACTGCTTCACTTCACATTTAGAGATTGCTACTTTTTGCGAATCACTCAAAACCGGCAAACCTCGAACGATGGTGTGTTTGATTCACAAGTTGAACCAGACACGCGTAGTAATTCGTAAAAAACCTGGATGGCCAATCCAATTGGTCCTTGAAAGATGTACGAATGACTACTTAGGGCGTATAAAGTTTGATAACTAAGTGTTACGGTCATCCATTCGATATCACTCTTTGAAGAAAATTGATACAGAATCCAATTGTCTCTTTGTCTTACTTTCTCTTTTACCGTGAAGCTGGAAGCTTGGTAGTGTGAGCAGTTAAGGAAAGATCATTTGAAAAACAGAAGGAAGTTGAAAGGCAGACAAAGTAGCACTGAACACACGCCATGAATAGATGTGTTATAACTTAACGCTTCTTTCATAAGTGCCATCCTCACTTAAGTGTCAAACACTTCTACCTAACCAAAAATTAAACGATACAAATTCATACCATACTATTATAGAAAACAGAGAAGACAAACAGTAATTTAATCGTGTAAAAACTTCAGCCGAATTTGCTTTCAGATACAAAATTGCATAGCTAATTCAGTGTGACGACTTCTGAGACAATCGTTAACTGCCATAGTGTTCCTTAACCTTATTTAGAAGCGAATCACACATGGTTTTAGCGTCACCCAAAAGCATGCAAGTGTTGGGTTTGTAGAACACTGGGTTATCCACGTCTGCGTACCCGGTGCCCAGAGTGCGCTTCATCACGATCACCTGTCGATTAAAAATGAATTTGGTTACTCAATTTCAAAGCGTTACAGTAGCAACTTGGCTTATACTGTATACTGGCCTATCGAATAACAACGACCTCTAAGCTCAAGTATTCCTGTCTCACATAAAATGGGAGCGTTGTACTCAATGACTACATTTTGTTATGTTACCCAGCTTTAAGAGGAACACGTTATCACCGCCATTTGCAATCTTGCTTAGGTAGAAAACATTGACAAAAGGTTTTGGCCGGCCGTTCTTAAATCCTTATGTAGACATGACGTGGAATAAAAGGGTTGTTTAGCCAGATATCACACAAAAAAAGACAAATATACAAAAAACTTCGAGCAACTCGCCTGCTTTGCTTTCCAAACTTCCAGAACAGGCATGCCCGCGATAACAGAGTTGGGATCGTCTTGGGCAGCGGAGTTGACTGTATCGTTCGCACCGATCACCAGAGCGAGGTCGGTCTCGGGGAAGTCTTCATTAATTTCGTCCATCTCTAACACGACGTCATAAGGTACTCCAGCCTCAGCTGCAACAATAAATTGACACGTGTTATTATTAGCGTCGGTGCATAAATAAAATATTAATATTTTTCCGCGCTATTTCGAGGAAAATGAACTGGAGGCATTGTACATAAACATAACTGGCTTTCTTTGAGCCTGAAATTTTCAAGCTCTTGATTTGTGCTGTTTTATGAGTAAAAATCATCTCTTCATAACCGCTAAAATAAGACTGATTTGCTATAAGCAATAACGTTACATACTCGTGCAAGAATACTGAAAGGAGTTTAAGGCAGACCACCTTTTCAAATGAAGAAATCTTCTGAGCGTTAAGAGTTCCTTCCCTTCTACATGCGCGCAAAGATAAACGAGCTAAACCACGTCAGAATGTAGATTCTCTCACAAACGTTTCCTTTCATCCCTCATGTTTGGACTGCTGCAAAAGAAGACGACTTCCACGGAACTTAAGTCCACTTACCCAGCAATACGTTCAGCTGTCCCGGCATGCGTCCTGCGACGGGATGGATTCCGAAGCGTACGTTGAGTCCTCTTTCTTTGAGCTCTTTGACCATGTCAGCGATAGCGTACTGCGCCTTTGCCACAGCTAATCCGTATCCTGGTGTGATGATAACATTCTTTGAAGATGTCAGCATTTCTACGGCGCCTTCCGCGTTGATCTCTGTGTGAGTCCCGGTGATCTTTTCCCTTTCACCCGTGCCTGTTACAACAGAAAATAATGACAAGTTAGGATAATTAACTCACCGTGAAATACACGGGGAGGGGTTGAAAAGTCTCCAAGCCGGAGGCTGTCGCAGATGATTGAAGCTTAAAACTAAGAACTGCGAGTCGCTGAGCACGTGCGTCTTTCATGTGTTATTCCAGTTTAACCGGCATATTAAGTAACTAAATAAAAATCGACGCGCGCGCGCGGTACGAGAATTACACCATCATAACTGCTGTTTCCCAACTTCAATAAACAATCCACGGAAGATAAAGCAGATTAACCGTACACTGCATTGAGGCATTTTCCGTATAGGTTGTGGGAAATGAAACAATAGTAATACACCTTGCTTATAATAAACAGTTCCTTCAGTCAGTGACAAAAGAATAGTCCTATCAATGAAGAATGACATTAATAAAGAAATTACGGCGAAGTCTCATAATCGCTCGTTAGTAGATTTACGTCATAATAGCAAGCGTAAATTTGAGACATAATTAAGAGTGAAATGATTCGTTTTAGATTCTAACAACAAATGAATTCTCCTTGAAGTAATGTTTTCTTCTTTGTCCAGCCTTGTTTGGGGATCGTCGGAGGGAAACCAAGAGCGTGTGAACAGCGATCAGGTATTGTTTGACGACTCCAAGGTTACAGAAGACGACTGGGTATTGATTGAAGAAATACGGAACCATGGCGAGTCTGCACACGAAGACAGACGGGTGCCGTCTCTTCAAACCTTGCCTGAGGCCAAGGAATTGCAACTCAGTGACAGCGTAGAAGATAACTCTGCAGCGCCGGGATGTTCCTCACGAACTGATAATACAGATTTGAACGCAACAACTTCTCATGGGTTTTTGTTCACTAAGAAACAATCAAATATAAGCAACAAGTCATCGCTGGAAATCCTCTTTGCCGAAGTTCAGCCGAATGAAACCGAAAGCAAAGAGATCTCCGACTGCTCGATGAAAACCGACGAAACTGACGTCGGCGAGAAATCTTCGCTGCAATTTCTTTTTGACGAATCGTTCCACGGCGACACTGCAACCGGTGGACAAAGCGCTGCATCACAATTCTTTATCAAACCGATGCCCGATCCTCCAGTTATTCAAGTTCCAAGTACTAGCCAACCACAACGACAATTCAGCCACAGATCGTACAGCGCCGACTATTTCCGAGGAAATCCCGACGTAGTTGTTGAGCCGACCGTGTTGAGGCGTCGTCACGTGAGTAGACTTTCTAAGCGCTCAGGTGATTCTGCGTCTGCCATGGTTGGTCCAGTTGTGGTTCAAAAGAAAACGAAACTTCCTCCTGAAGGAACTTCCAGTGTGGTGCATGGAGACGATACAAGGAAGAGAACCAAGCGAGCTAACAGCGTTGCATGCGTGCAAAGCAATAACACTCACGGAAGAAGAAGAAAGCGGACGGCGGACAAGTGTAGTGGAAAAAGTGGCCGAAGAAACTGTTAGCAATCTCCTCTTAACGGATGTTGCGTCGATATTATCGGACATGCTGAGGTGACTTCAAGTCAATCTGCTCTTGGATGATGCCGTATTGCGTTTACAGGTTTTCTAGTGCACTAATTCTTCATACCTTTACCCAGTAATCGAATCAGTGAGTTACACTTTCGCATGTTTAGCCAACCGTTGTCCTTCCTTCTCAATAAAAAAACCTAAACCAACTTTTCAAAATCGTTCATTGATGACGCTTTAATGACGTAGCCACTGCACCCTAGGCCTCGAAATTGAGAAGTTCTATGGAATGGTAAAACTAAGAAAAGTATCCTGATCTTCTCAACCGCTTCGCTCAACCGAGTGTAAATAAGAAAAGGGGGGTAACTTTCTATAGAAACTGTGGTGCTGCGTCGCTGAGGGTATTACAAAATAATTTGGTTTATCAACTAAGATAATAATATAAACTGGCCACCGTTAAGAGTTTCTGAAGCCAGCGTTTCGAAAATTAGCCTTTCGCTTTTTTTTTTTACCAAATTATCGAGGATAAACCAGCAAAACTTTCGATTTTGGTAATAGAACCAAGACGGAAAAAAAGTACGGAGATGAAATGCACATCACGGTATTTTCGTGATAAAAGATCAACTTAATTATTCACGAAATGATATTTTGCGTTAGACGAGAGCATAAGAGTTCACCTGCAGCCCGCTACAGTTTTACTGTTGAACTATACATAGTGGGTACCGTGAACTGTCGCTTATACAACTTCGTTAGGAGTTTTAGGAGGGCTTATATCTGGAATATGTAAAGCGCTTCGAAACGAGTTCTAGAAGTGCTGATCAAAATAGGATTTGTGTTTATACTGGTTTTTAAATAAGCTTCAATACATCAAAACAAATCAAATTCATTTCAGTGCATTTGGAACAGAATTAACTAACAACAGCAACAAAGTTAGAACATAACAAAACGGAAGCTCAGACTTTTCCTTTTAGGTTCGTCTTTGATA